CCTCTCCCCACCTCTCCAAGCACTTTCCCGCCACGAAATTGCTGTTAATAGCTTCCTAACTGATCTCGCTTCTTCTCAGTCTATTCTCAACATAAGATAACTAGAGGGATCCTTTAAGCCAGATCATATCATTTGTCTGCTGAAAACATCCCATCCGATGAATTCAATCTAGCTGTTACCTCTAATTCTGTAGGTTTGAAGTCTTCTATAATAACTAATTAAAAAAAAAAAATCTAAAATGGATTCCACTCCCCCTTAGAAGAAGAGCCTACAAGGCCTTACTTGAGCTGCCAGGCCCTTGTAGCCCTACTTCCCAAGCTCCTTTTGCTCCAGCCACGTTGGCCTCCTTCCTGATGTTCACACAATCGGAGCATTCCTCTTCCCCGGGTACCGTCATGGCTCTTCCCCTTACTTTCTTCTGTGTTCAAAACAGCCTCTATCAATGAGATGTTCCCTGACCTACTGTTCTAAATCAGCAAGCTCCTCTTCCCTTTCCGTCTTCCCACACTGCTTCATTTTCCTTCAGAGCACTTCTTAGATGTAGGCAGATATTTTACATACCTGTTTATTGTCTGACTCAATGAGAATGTAAGTTCCACAAAAGTGATTTGGTTTTGTTAATTGCTGTATCCTCTTGCACGTGCTAAATGCTCAATTATTTGATAATGAATGAGATGAAATAAATAGAAATCAGTGTAAATTACAAGGGACAAGAAAAGAAAACCCAGATTCTATGAATTTTAAATTTACTTCTTTATATGGAATCCAGGTATTAATTTGAAATAAAGGATTTGTAAGCTGCTTTGATGAATAAATCCATTAACACTGAATATACTTTCAAACACTTTCATTAACAGACTTTCAAAAATTTAGTCTGTATACACCTTTATATATATTTGTTTAAAATATATAAATACAAATATGTAAAGGTTGTAAAAGTGAGATTACTTTAGATATAATTAAAGATATATTAAACAGTGTATTGTCTTTACACTGAAATTATGCTTTCCGTTTCCTTAAGTAAAAATTCATACTCATTATCATGTTTCCATATTAAACCAAGTTATCATATACAAAGAATTATAGCAAAGTAATTATTTTTATTAATCACGACTTTTAACCAAAGTAACTAACTTGTGTTTACTCCAGAGAGAAAACTGGAAGACAAAAAAATCAAGACCTGTTTAAATTTTTGCGTATACTTTATAGATGACCTCTGTTAAGTTTTAAAATTGCAAATACACTTATGTAATACCATCCAAAGCATTTGCATTGTTAATTCATTTTATAATGTATGGGAAATCAAAACTACCTTTAGTGACCAAAACTTTGTATTATTTTTTTTACTTAGAAATTATCCAAGTATCCAAAGACTAATTTAGTATTTTCTAAGGTCTTGAAAAGTTAACTGAAGAACTGAAAAAACCCCACAATTTTAGTGCACATTTGATCCTTATAATAGTGTTCTAATAATTTTGTAAGAGTAAAACCCCTGTAAAAGACATTTGTGTTACAATTTTTAGGTAAACACTGATGTATAGTTGTAACCTTTCAGTTGATGGAATTAATAACTTATTTGACCCATAACATCAATATAGAAAATTTAGAAAGTTTAAATAATGAGAAGTTCAACCATAGTTTTATATAAACTTAGCATTAATTTTATATAATAAAACCTGGAAGAAGATAGTTGATCTATTTGAGCTAGATATAACTATATTGCTCATGAATTATTTTTTTCTGAATTCATCTTTAAAAATTTTCAAGTGGGAGGAAAAGATAGGGAGAGGAACAGGAAAAAAAGGTGAGCCAGTGCCAGCTTTATACCATTAAAGACAAACTGGCATATTAAAATTTTTGAGTTTGAACAGAGATCTATTCAAATCAGTGTCAAACTGGAAGTGCTTCCACCAACTGGGGCTAGGGGCCTTTTTGTAGAGAAGCAGCAGAGACTGAGCAAGGGAATTACTTGATTGGCTGGAGCTTGAGTGATTGCGTTTTTTGAGAGAGCCTTGCTGGCTTTTTGTGATTGGTTGTCTTTCGGTTTTGATTTCTTAGCCTTCAGGCATCTCAAGCTTAGGTTTTGGTTTGCTACTGGGGCATTAAATCCACCTCAATCTAATGGCTCCTTTATTTAATACAAATAGGAAAGTAACCCTCTAAAAGGCTAATTACCTTCCCTCTTAAAGGAGAGAGGAGAAAGTTTTGATATAAGCAATACAATAAAAAAGCCCTGAAGTATGGAAGTCAAGATTGGACAATCTTCTACATAAACAAAGTATCTTCTTAGACAAAAAAACAGAGGCTTGTCTCCTGAGGTTTGTTTTTGTTATTTTTTTGGTGCTGTTCCCTCAAGTGAAAGTCTTGTTCATGTCAAAATTCCTCAAGGTGGTCACTACAATCGCCTTGCTCAAGTTACTCCAGGAGGTAGTGCAAGTCTATTAGCTGACCAACCCACAAACAATTGCCTAATGTTATATCACAAAACATTGCTATGTCTGTCTCAGACTTTAAAGCTAATCTTAAACCACCTGACTTCTGACCTAAGAAATGTGGTCAGAAGGCAACATGGGTGGATAGAAGGTCTCCCCCAAAGCAAACTTCTCATACACAGACCCAACTGAGGGAAGTTTTTAGAGACAAATAATATGAGATGGTAGGCAAGCAGACAGAAGACAGGACACAGTGTTTAAAGTCAAATTCACTAAAGGACACCAGTCTGATTGGAACCCCCAAAACCTAGGAAACAAATAAGCATTACACTGGAGACAAAGAGATCATCAAAATGCAGTTATTGCAAAATCCATGTAACCAGGGACAGAGAAGCATTGAGAAGTCTCATTTAGTATCATCAAATTAAAGGTCCTAATTCACTACAATGAGGATCTCAGTCAAACCTTAGTACAGTCTCCAAACTGTCCTAGCCCTATCAGCCTAAAACTACTGTCTGAGTCCAAACCAGTTGCTGTAACAAAAATACTACACCCTGGGTGGCTTATAAACAGTAGAAATTTATTTTACATCATTCTGAGAGCTGGGAAGTCCAAGAGCAGGTGCCAGGAGATCCAGTGTCTGGTGAGGTTCTACTTCCTGGTTCACAGGCAGCAGACTTCTGTGTCTTCACATGGCAGAAAGGGCGAGGTAGTTCTCTGGGGTCTTTTTATAAAGGCACTAATTCTATTCATGAGGGTTCCACCCTCATGACCTAATCATCTCCCAGAGTTCCCACCTCAAACACCAACACATTGCCACATCAGGGCACCATCTGATTTCAATGTCCTTGACCATAAATGACAATGAATCATGAAGGCAGAGTAATGAAAACCTGTTAGTTAGACTGCCAGGTACCATGAAAATTTCTAAAGTGTCAAAGAGCATAAGTGTGCAACTTGGCCTTTTTGTGAAGGCCATATTCACCGAATTGTTAATATCCTTGCATTCCCAAAAGAGCCAGGGGTTCCAGAAAGACTAATGGTGTCTATTAAAAAAACATGTGAACTACAAGCTAGAGAGAGCCTTCTTTTTTATACTGGTCAACTTCAGCATTATGGTAAAAATGAATTCTGAAAAAAGTAAATTTCAGCATGGTGTGAACATAAAGAATTGAATTTAATCTCTGTATGTCACACATTTTGTAAATAGCCCCTTAGGCATAAGGAAAAATATATATTTAATCAATCTTTATGATTTCTATGGTAAACAAGTTGAGAGGGAAAAAGTATCTCTGAGTTCTCTGCTATATGATGCATAGAAGATGTACTGTGTGCAGTACAATTATGTATTACAGTGTGTTTTCATATTTGAATGTAATGATTCAAGTTATCCGTGTAACATTAGGTAGAAGGAATATTTAGAGTTCTATTGAGATTTGCTCTATCAAGTGAATTTTAAAAAGTGTTTTTTAGCATTTATGCCTTATGACAACTTCCAACATGCTATAATATGTTATTAGTATATACTAAAGTGTACATAAGAGGAAAACTTTAACATCTTTAATACATGCCCAGTTACTGTCTATTGTAAAAATGTACTGAGACATATGTATCTTATTTTAGTGACAAAAGGCTTGACATACTGACTAGTAAAATAAACAGGATATGATATAGAAAATTAGAAAAGTATAAGCACAATCACATAATTCTACTTTCAAAGTTAAAATAGATATTAGGATTATAGAATGATAGTAGAGTTTGTTTTCCCCCCTTGAAACAACAAAGACTGAAGAGTTAAGATTTTATATTCTCATAGACTTCAAACCTAACTTTTATAAAAACAGGTTAATGCTTGAATTCTAGAATAAAAAAACTAGAGCTGAATTTTTAAACGGTATAAATGGGAACAATTGAATCATTAAGTACCTTGCTCAGACACACACATCACCTGCCTAAGGTTTGCTGAATACTAAATGCATTTTTCTAAATGTCACAAAAAGGCCGAGCAGAATTTCTCCAAGGGCAATCCAACTTTAGAGTGTTAGCCATGGAGATAGATTAAGCTGTCTGTGGGAAAGGAGCAGAAATACGCTACCTCATGTCATTAAAGAGAAAGGTGAGTGTAAAGTCTGATGAATGTTAGGGATGTAATATAGAACAAAAAAGAGTAATAAACTGTATAACAAAATTATAAGAACAAAATTTGTTAATATTAGCAATTTAAAGTCTCTTTATCAAAATGATTGACTTATCATAAAACAATACTAGTATAGTTTTGCTATTTAGTCCTTAATTTAGCTGGCTACATAACACAAAATCTGAGATAAATAATTTTAACCTTTATTAATATCAGTCACTTAGTATAGTGTTAGTGAAAATTAAGATTATTCTATAAAATTTTATTTTCTTGTAACTAATTACATATAATAGAACTAGCTCTACATTCAATCTTGAATATATAAAATACACAGTCAATAGGAAAATAGTTGGGAAATCAAAATCAGCATATGAGCTTTAAAGCTTAATGTTTTAAAGAGTTTTATAAAATGTTTTAACAACTTACTTGCATTGGTGAAAATCAAAGTTTTATTTCTAAAAAACAGGGACAATATAAAGCTAGCACTTTCAAGAACATTTGAATATCAGAAGAAAGTTGCTAAGTACAGTACTGATTTAATAAGAGATTGGTCATACATATATTACCCAGCACCATTACTTTCTCTGTTAAAACAACCAAAACTAATCACATGCAAGGCTTTTTATTTTTTGTTGATTTTCACAGGTGATCCTTTGATGTTCAGTTTGTCCACAAAGACATTTGATCTTCTTCCACATTCAGTGGCTGGACTTTGATGAGGTTTCTCCCTGAGAAATATACATAGACACTAATGACATTTTTAAAATGGTCAATGGCTTATAAATAAATATGAACTTAGTAAAAATCACCATAATTTAAGGGTAGTTTTGTCTCAAATATTCCTTGACAGCTTGAAAAACATATGGCTTGCTATTCCACTTAATATTTAAAAGAGCAACAACTGCTTTTCTGAGATAGATTTAACTGTTAATGGCTTAACAATGCTGTCCAATGTGGTACCCACTAGCCACATCATTTATATTTGAATTAATTACAACTTAAAAATGTAAAATTCAGTTTTTCAGTTGCATGAGCACATTTCAAATGTGAGTCAATAGCCTCATGTGGCCCCCATACTGGACAGGACAGATACATAACATTTTCATCACTGCAGAAAATCATTTCAGAAAGTTCTGTTAGACAGTGCTAGCTTACAGAAATGCCACTGACAAAGCCCTAGACGATAGATCATCTATAAAGAACATGCTTTCTCTAAGTGGGACCTGGATTTCACAGTCAAACTTAGCACTTGTACATATTATCTAAAATTATTAAGGGAGCAAGTTTTCTATAGAAGATATTAGATAAACGATGCTAGCACATGAAATTGTACACAAGGCTTCTGATTTACTTGATACCCACTTGTCTCCCGCTGGATTTGTGAAGCCTTCCACCTTCTGCAGCAATTCTCCACTCTCTTACAGCCTCAAGCAGATTTCTGGTTTAAGGCCTTGGTGAGCCCTCTCTCTGTCTAAGTGTATTTTCAATAGGAATTAGATATTGTTTTCAATTTTTTCCCCAAAGAACCAAATTAAATTGTAACTCTAGAATGTACACTGTGTAAAAATCTCTATACACTTTAAGGGGTGGTTTCAGTACATTTATATTTCACTGCTATGCCAAAAGGTAAAGGTGGCTAAAGTTTAGCAAAATTCTCCCAAAATATCTAATACAGATGTTGTTATATACTATATAAGTGTTTAAAAATGCTTTTGCCACTAAATACTGAATTTTGACTTGTTAGGGAAGTTTTATTAAGCCTTTCAGGTACAGACCCTCTCTATCATATCTCTAGATAGCTTTACCTGGTATGAAATGTAGGGTCCCTACTATGTTCAGATTATAATTTGTTCACAAGAATAACTGCCTTAGAGTATATCACTTTACCTTTGGAGGAGCTTAGCCCCATCTTCTGAAACATAATTTGCTAAGGAGTTACTAATCATACAATCCTAAAATCTTACTGGTTTTTAGATACAAATTTAAATTTGTGTGGAATACTCATATATAATGTAAAATTATTATATAAGTTAAACAAAACTTCTTGACAACAAAGGTAAAATTACATAACCTTTCTTCTAATTCTGCTTTAAAAAACACAACTTGTTTTACAAGTAACTTTTACCTTCTTTTAAGTTCTCGGAATCCTGAGTTCTCAAGACCAACACTTCGCATCCTGGTGTTTTCTAGATTGCGCCGTTGTCCTCCTCGTTTGTACTTCAAAACCTCACTTTGCCACTCATCATCAAAAGCATGAGCATCACCTACATTAAATATCAAAATAAAAAGGTAAGTAGTAAGGTCTTGACTGTCAGTAATTACCTTTGATCCCCTTATACTTCATTCTAGCCTGGTGTTTCTATCGACCTAACCTCAAGATAGAGGCAGGAAATAGCTTTAAATACAAAGGTCTCTGACTCAGGGTAATATTTCCTTTTCAGTTTGTTATTCTCCTATTCCAACTGATAATTTGATTGTTGATAATCTGCTTTTCCACGCATCTGCTTGGACATCAGATTATTCTACCAAATGGACCCCTTGGTTCAATCATGGTGACTTAGTCTTTCTTCCTGGGTTACCTTGTGGTGACCATGCTTTTCCACTGCATTTGGACACTCCTTCTGTAGCTAGGTCTTCCTGTTAACCTCACCATGTTCCTACATAACTTGGCCTCACAAGCTTCTGTTGTCATTTTCCTAAAACAGGTTATTCATCTCCACTGTCAATTTGTGTTCTTATGAAGTAGGAAATATAACTTTCATAATAATGACAATAGGTAAATGTTAATACTTATTCTTTCAGGTTGCTTTTATAATAATGTGTTCCTTTACTAATTTTTTTCTCCTACAGGTCAATCAATTATTGTGAAGTATTCTATATATATTAAATATGACAAAATTAAAGGTTAAAATTAAAGAATAAGATGATGTAGCTTTGATCAAATTATTCTCATTGCCTGAGAATAATTTGATCAAAATCCAACCTTAAGATAATTTCTTTTTCAAAAATGACATAATAATTTAAACCTTTTACTACAATAAAATATTTTTATTCAAAACACTTTCTGAAAAAAATACTTCTTGAAAATAACTTAAAAATATAATGAGAAGAGTTCAGACAATGCAAGGACTTAAATGCATTGAAGAATGAATATAAAATGTAGAAAATGGAAAGATTTATTTGATGTATGCATGTTATATTATCTAACAGTGCCAGAAATTAAGATATTTTCTATTCAAAAGCTTAAGTACCCAACAATTCAGAATGGTTTAAATAAACTATGGCCTATTCATGATAAAATTGTTAGGTAGCCATTTAGAATGTTTTTGAAAATAACATCATAGATGACTATTCACAGTTATTATGGTGAATCAAAATAAGCACAATATAAACTAGATAGTAAAATGCTAATTTTGAAAACAGTATGAGTGTTTATATATGCATAAAATGATTAGGAAGAAAAATACTAAAACATATAGTATTTTGGGTTGGGGTTATGGCTAACTTTAAAATTTTCTGCTTTTTTTATGTTTCAAATATACTTCTTTGATAATCAGAAATATTAAAAAATTCATTTTGTCTTGACAGTAAATAACAATTCAAATTTTCCATTTTCCAAGTATAATGAAAAAAATGATACTCAACATTACCAAAAATCCTATAAAAAACAGATTTACTATGAAACAGTGAACCACAACTTTATTACTTTGATAAAGTATTCCTTACACATATTATTCATAAACTATCTCAAAACATTTTATAAAATGTTTCTACAAAAAATATTCATCAAATTGTACTAGTACAGCTGCTATTTTAACTTTAAGAGGAAGAATGCTATTCTCTGTAATCACTTACATTCATTCATATTGATGAACTCTTGATTGACCTCTTCATCTCCAGTCTTCTTGTTCTTTGACTTTTTAACGACATGAGCTCGGTCATGGAGATGATGACCAATAGCCATTTTTTCTAGTCCACTGTCAGAATCTCTTAGTGCTCTCCTAGTTTCCTTTATCTGCAAAAGGAAAACAAAAATTAGTAATTATTTAAATATAGAATGGATATAATTCTAAACTCCTCAGGGCCTGTTTACATATAGAAGTTAAGATCGTATATCTACTGTTTTAAAAATGACAAGTACTTAATCCTACTACTAACTTGACAGTAAAACTGTAGTAACAGTTCTCTGATGTTTCATTAACTGCTTATAATTAAAGTGTCTGGGACAAACAGAACAAATACCATTTAACCTTTTTCCAAATTATAATCAGATATTAAAATAAAGAATAACAATTCTTGTAATAAAGCTTAGTTCCTTCAACACTGTCTTTGAAAATGTAACAGTTGGGAGTGCCACTAGCAATTCTGTAAGTAAGGGCAACTAACTAGTCAGCAGTTCATGTTGACGGGCTTGAATCTCATGGCTCCCACCTACCAACTCTCTGGGTTACTAGAATATTTATGACAGCCATGACTATCAACATGGCTTGCTGTGGGACTACTACAGTTACATTCTGTTTACAGGTAAGAAGGTATCATGTATAGCAAGTTAAAATTAAAATGTCTGAGGTGAATTAGCTGTACTATGGCAAGAACATTATTAAAAAGTATGTTTTTATATATAAGAACTAAAAAATGAACTACTCATACCCATTACACAGGCAAACCTCATTTTTTTTTACTGTTAGTACTAACAAGGAAGTGGAGAAATAGGAACTCTCATACCAGAGTTTGTGGGAGCTGTTTCAATCACTATGTGATAGTAACTTGGTAATTTCTAGATAAAGACACACACCTAAAACCTGACTATCATTCCTAGACCCTTTGCACAAGGAGACATGTATAAGGACGAGTAAGTAAAAAATTAGAAACACCTAAATTTTACCAATAGAAAATAGAACACTGTGGTATATTCATATTTTGATATTATATATAAGTTAAAGAATCCAGAGCTACACACATCAATTTGAATAAATCTCAGAAGCATATTTTTGAGCAAAGTCAAGTTGCAGATGACACATGGAACATGAAGCCATTTATATTGTTTAGAAATTTATAAAATAATCCATTACATTGTTTATGCAGCATACATAGGTAATAAAATTATAAAAACATACATGAGAATGGTAAGTTCTATATATAGGAAAATGGTTCACTTTAGGGGACGGAGTAAAAGAGAAAAGGAACTAAGCAGAGAGGTGTGGTGGAAGCTTTAACTGTGTCGGTAACATTTTTGCTTAAAACAAAGCAAAGTAAGAGGCAACTTAAAGCAAATAGAGAAGAATGTTATGATTTGGTTAAACTGGGTGGATGGAACTTAGGTATTTATTATATTATTCTTTTTATCCTTTCTGTACACTTGAAATAGTTCATGAGTTTAAAAATATTAATTAGTAAAGTTTCTACTTTACTACAGATATAAAAGTAGACAGTTATTTCATGAAATACTTTAGTGTCTACTTACCTTGTCAACAAGGTAACAATAAAGGTAACAAACATAAATAGATATTTAAATGAAAAAAGGAACCTGGGATGGGGGTAGGAGACTCAAAAAATGTCTGAAACTAAGTAAATACAGTAAGCTTTACTGCTTTTCACAGTGACTTGTTATCTTCTCTCCTACCTACATAGTATAAGATCAAATTTGATACGGATAATATATCATTCCACAACTTTTTTAAGCTCCAAGAATGTTCAGAAAATACTTACTCCTCCTGGAGCCCTACGGGTTTGAGTCGAGGCCTGGAAAACCTTTGGTGGTTCATCTCCTACTTTGGAATAAGTCATAACTGATGAAGAACTAAATGAATGTCCATTTGGATCCATTGAAAGGTGATCCTAGAGGTAAATATAAATTGTAAATCCAGGGAGTTTAGTCAAATATGAAGATTTAATGTCAGAGGATTCAAATAAGCAACAACACTAGCTAGAGGTTCTACTAAGGATACTATCCTACCAGTATAAGGTGTCCAAATGGCACCCCCAGGAGGGCCCTAACCTCCTTCCATTTTAGGGACCAATCCCCACTCTCCCTGGGAGGAAAAACAAGAGATTTCACTCAGAGATGCTTAAGTCTTGGGGATCAAAGATTTGTGCCTTAGATTTAAATACAGATGCTGTGCCCTGAACTTGTGGTACTTTTATAGTCAGGGGTTGACCCCTGTGTGCAACTTTGCCAATGTGGAGCCAATCAGCCATATACCAAGAAGTTTATACCTCCTGTGGGTACCAGATTGTTACAATACTAAAATCATTAATAAGTTCCTAAATATGGACATTCTGAAATAATCCTTAGATTACAAACTGGATGACAAAAATAATACATGGCTTCTTCAAACTGAATCAAGTTATTATTTTAATGTTAATATTGTAAGTAAAAAAATAAAAATATTAGTACTAGTTTATAAGTATTTGGACTATACAATGCCTAAACATCATTCCTGAAATTTTTATTTTCATAGGTTTTTTTGACACCCTAGAAATGTAATTTCTTAGATGCTCCCAATCCTTTTGAGTTGACAAGTTATAAATGATTAAATTCATATAAAACATTCATTTATAATAGTGACCTTCAGCAGAACAAATGTTTCTGAGGTTTAGTCTTTTTTAATTTGAAAGTTAATGCTATTTTTCAGACTCTAGTTATGAAATCAGTTTGGTGGGTTGTGACCAGGATAGAAAGTCAGATAGAAAATACCAGCACACACTGTAAATTATACAATCATTTTCTCATGAACTTTTGTTTCAGGTATATTTATACAGTAAAAAGTATATACTGGGTCATGATATAAGATATATACTTTTAACCACTGTGGACTGTGGTTAAAAAAAGTTTGAAAGTCACTATAATAGAGGATTACCAATAACTGAAAACAATGTTTTCATCACTTTTTTTGTACTTACAAAGTTTCTCTGTAATTCCTGCATACTGTTTCGCATATTTAACATCATTCGGTCCATTGCCTGAAAAGGGTTGACATCTGTATGCTACAGGATTTTAGGAAGTATGTTATTAACTACAAGTACAACATAAAAGAAGCAAGTCAACCTTCCCAAAGAGCTGAAAATTTTTTTTCTCAATTTTGCAGTGGTATCTCATGCAGTAATTAAACAGGCAAAGATAATTTAAGAACTATAAGTGAAAGTGATTTGTTAAAGGAAAAACTGAAGCATACACAAAAACACATATAACATATAAGCAGTCAACATATAAATGATTAGGGAGTTGTAACACTATAAATATAGGCATACATACATGTGTATATATGCACACATATATACATGCATGAACACAGAAATATACACACACATATCACTCGTCAACTTTCTTAAAATATAACTTGATTAGTGTTTAAAATACTGAATAGTGTTTTCTGGGCTGGAATTCTGGGCTCTCAATACCCCACTACGCAAGTAAATAAAACTTGGGTATAAGATACCAGTGTCATCTCCACGAGTACCATATGGCCCCCTCTGGAGTAGCCAACCCTCCTTTTCATCATAGGAGGCATCTAAGCGATAGAGGTTAATTCACTCTACTAATAGGCCTTGAGTTTGCTGCCCCCACTGAAAGTTCAGTAGGGCATACTCTTAAAGCATGAGGTATGCTCCTCTAAAGGAACAGTTAAGAATTTCTCTAGAACAGTGGTTTCTCAACCAAGAGTGTTTTTGACTCCCAGGGGACATCTGGCAACAATACACATTTTTGTTTGTTACAGTTGAGGAGGGTGTAAAACTGGCATGTGGTGGGTAGAGGCTAGCAATCAGGCTAAACATCCTACAAAGTGTAGGACAGCCCCTCAGAACAAGAATTATCAGGCCCCAAAATGTCAGTGGTGTCAAGGCTGAGAAACTCTGCTCTAGAAAAATCTATTTATTTTAGGTTTTATCACTGGAACACTTATCAGAAATTAAAAAGCGAAGCACACATTCTTGTGTGTCACCCAGTACATCATCACTATTATAAAATGGAGTGTTTGCTTCAAGGATCTCCTCTGCTTAAGCAGGAGAAGTCTTTTGAATCCTGGAAGGCACTGTGGGTCATGGCTGGGATTCAACCCTTCTGGGGATTCTTTTGCTGTGCCAATGGGGTGCTCAATAAAGAATTATCAAAGGCCTGTTTATGTCTCTGCCTTCTATTGGGTTTTTATTGCTAGAAACAATGGGAAATAGATGGGAAAACCAAATTTCTCTCTAGAGCCTGTACTTGACACAGTTGGGAACAACAAAGGCATTTAGAATATACTGATACATCTTTGGGTGCAAAAAGACTGCAGTAAAATTAATGTGCATTGCAGAAATTCAACACAATTCAGGAACTATTCTGAATATTTTGTTTTAATTCTAGGTGGAGAATCAAGGCTGTATAAGAGACAATTCATGAGAGATGGAAGGACTAGCCCTAGGAAAGAGAAGAAGAGGAGATAGGATATTTGGATATATTCCACCCTTCAATTCACTGTCAAAATAGCCATCAAAAGATGTATCTGTACTTGCTATGGGGTGGCCTAACCACCATGGAGTAACAAAAAGTGGTGGTACAAATTAGAGCTGGGATTCCAGTGGGCATTAAAGGCCTTCAGGAACTTTGGACACATGCTCTTCTCTCTGCCCTGAATGCTTTCTCCTAACTCTTGGCATAGTTTATCATTCAAGTAAAAGGTCACCTGTCTAATCTAATCTCTGCCTCACCTCCCATCTGTCCCTACATCATTACTGTGCTGCATCTCTTTTAGAGTACTCTGATTATCTGAAATTATTCTATTGTTTACTGTCTTCCCACTCTACAAAAATAACCTCTGTGAAGGTACTATCTTCTCTTATTCACTACTGTATTTCCAACACTTTTAAAGTAATTTAAAAGTGCCCCCCCAAGGCACATAGGACAGCTCAATAAATATTTGCTGAATGAACAAATTTTCTCTAGCTCAGTTGAAACCCATGTATCCAAAGGTTTACTAGATAAATCCATCTGGACAGCCAAAGATGCCTCAAATGCAAAACACCCCACACTAAAATAATATTTTTGACCAGCCCTGCCCTCCCATCTGCTGCATCAGTGTCACTCCTTAGCTCAGTGGCATTCCTATCTACCTAATTTCTCTCGCCAGAAGAATGAGCATAATACTTTCCCTCTTCCTTTCTTTTGTTCCTTCAATCCAGTCAATCACCAAGCTCTATCCTTCATCTCTTTCATTTTCTCTCAGATGAGATTATTTCTTTATCGCCACAGCCATTATCCAAGTAGAAGTAATCATCAATACTTCCCAGAACACTTTAACAGGCTCCTGGCCTCCCTCCAGTCACCCTTCTAATCTCTCTCCCCTCTGTAGGCATAATAATCTTTGAAGATGAGAACCTGACTCTATTACTATATTTTGATGAAAATTCATCAACTGCTTCTCCTGCTCTTAAGATCATGTCCACAGTTCTTACCAGGGCCCAAGGAAGTCCCTCATTACCTCTGTCCTCATCTATATCTATCTTCCAATTCATATTCTAGAGCTAAGTACTCCTACATATCTTTGAGATCCAAACCTCCAGATCTTTGCACATGCCATTTCCTCTGTGGTGAATACTCTTCTCCTCCCCTCCCTGCTTTTCCTGTCTAACTCCTATTAATCCTTAAGGCTCAGGAAGTCTTTTCTGATTGACCTCCCCACCACCACCCCAAAAGGTCTGAGTTATAGGCTTTTTCTATCTGTGCTCTTGCAGCATGCAGAACTTCCTGATCATTTTACTAATAACTCTGCTGTAATTGCTTTTTTTCTTAGTCATTCGTCCCACTAAAAACTCTGGTCAGGAAAGGGCAAATGTTGTATGTCTAACCTTATGGAGGTAAGTGGTTGAAATCTAGCACGAGAGAATACAAATAAATTTTTTCATGAGAGTGTAGATGCACCCATAGGAAATGTTCCAAAGACATGCTATTTGTTCTCTGCTACCCCTCAGATTGCCTTACAGTGTTACAAACTAGTATCACAGAAAACAGATTCAAAGCTAAAAGAAACAGCGGGGAGAAAAGCTGACTGCCGAGTAGCCATACTTGGACAAGGAAAAGGAAAAGCAGCATCAACAAACTGATGACAGAGTCCTAGAGAAAGCAGCCAATCTGAGCTTTTTCAAACGTCCTGTCTACAGTTTGGTGCTTTTTCACCTTTTGGAAAGTCATCATAAGCATGTGAAGTCTCCAACTTTCAAACACAAATATGGGGATCTCTTTTAGAAATCAAATGAATATTCAACTATTAAAATTCACTTTTTCTTTTTGAAGACTGCTTTTATATATGTTGATATGACTTCAGAAAACACATGCCTAAATACTCTAAAATAAATTTAATAACATGCAATAGGTTTTCAGTACAAATATTAAAAAGCTATTATGAAAGTGAGACTGCATTCCAATTCAGTTTGAGTTAATGAAAAATATATATTTGTCAGGAAATACTGCTGAAATGGTTTGTGTCTCCTGATACAAACCATACCACCCAAACTGCCAGAAGGCACAAGAGAATTCACTGCCTAGAAAAAAAAATCCAATTAGTTTTGGTTATATTTATATGACAATCCCTAAAAAAGAAATGAACTGAAAAATCACATAGTTAAGAGCTAACAAAATTACAGAATCTTTTAATCAAAAAAGAATTGAACATATATTTTTAGAATTTGCTTATAATTCATTATAGAGCCTGACAGGAAAATATGGAGGCCATATATCAGTTTTAAATATGACTGTTCTAGTATTTATTAAAGGCAGTTGAAAAATAAGTATTTACTATAGATTAAGGCAAACATTCCTCAAATGCAAATCACACCAAAATTAATTAAAACATAAGGCACAATGAAGATGATACCATCTTTCCTTTACTCAACTATTCCGTATTTTTAAACATCAGTTAATCCTGTTTGTGACCAATGAAAAATAAAAATTATGTACATTAATTAATAGTTCAAAAGACTAGTAGAGATTTTGGGCAAAAAAATTAACACAGCACCTCCAAAAACTAATATATGGAATAAGAAATACAGACACAGATTTAAAATAGATTTAGAGTCTTTGACAGATAAAAGAATGTTGAGAATTATAGATGGAATAATCAAAATTATTGGCTCACAAATTGTATTCTTCAGTAGGCACAGATGAATAAAAAATTTTTAGACACAGACCAAAAAATTTTATTTTTTGGCAGTTTCAAATGTTGAATTTATAAAATTTGAATTTCTGGCTGAAAAGGCACATATAAAGTTTTACCATCATTCAGTGATAATATTCTCCCTGCGTAAGTTTTGTTGAAAAATAGAGAAAAGTTTGTTTATGTTAAATCATAATAAATTATGTCAGATAATATATTCTTATACTATATGCCTAGAACAGTAGTCTCCAAAGTGTATTGGATGCATTAATAACCCTTTTTTGTATCTTTTAAGTGAAAGGAAAAATGGATTTTAGATTGACTCTGGCACCTCAATCTAAATGTTGGATGGTCAGATGTCATATCTTAAATTATAAATTGCCTAATTAAATAAACATACAGATTAGATTATCTAGTTTTAAACAAAACAGATCCTCCTAAAGTGGAAAAGGTGAAAATATCCCCATAAAGAAATAATGAACTGAAAAACTGCTAATAAATACCCAAAAATGGCAAAACTGATGCTTCTCTTATGTTTATAGAAATCTCTGTCTTCCCTCATGATATGGCTGCTAAAGATGACAAACATCAAGAAATGGCCCAAAACAGAAGAAAAAAATTATCAAATTATCTATTTGAAATATAGATTTTTCATTCACTATACTTAAAAGCATCTGCATAATGGCTCACTGCTCAATCAAAGCAGTCATTTAAAAGCTTATAACTTCATGAAAAGAGAGGTTTTGATGAATTTTTATTAAAAGTCTGAATAGACTAGGACAGCTAGCATGCTCAAAAAGCCTACTGTCTTATTGGCTGTGCTCTATTTGTAAAACTTAACAGTCTTTTCCATCTTCTGCATTTAATTTCTAATTTCTGTTCCTACCTTCACATGTAGTTATGAAACACTTGCTTAGAAAAATCAAGGTAGGATAGAGGTCTTTTGTTGTTATTGTTGTTTTTTTTTCTTAATTAATTTATTACTTTTGCTCTTATTAAAGTCCTTCATACTTAGGCATAAACATGTCAAATGTATCCCACTGTAGGGGAAAAAAGGAGAGCCACAGCTCAGCAGTGTATAGGAAAAAAATGAGTTTTGCCTAAAAGAAAGGCTGAATGTCCCTTGGAAAACCTGCTATAATTGGATTGGAAATTCCTGTATTTTAAAAATTATTACTGCTCTTTAACTTTTAGAACAATGCTCAGAACTCTTGGTTGGCAAATTTTGAACAAAAAAAATGCACTGGTGTTAGCTTTCTAAGACAATTGATACAATATAATGTAATTAAAGAACAATGTATATGGCTTGATATTTAAATGTCAGATAGTAAATATCAGAACTTCACAGATGAATTATAAACCAATCTCCTTCTTATGCTTACAAGGGAATAAAATTGTCACTTCTTGTTTCTTCCACAAAAGCTATGAGTGATTCATTTGTGTATATAAATACAAAACATTATGTATAGCACTGCTCTTTCACTTTGGTGCTCATGGAAAGCTAAAATTTCAGAACATCTTATCTGACTTTTCTGCTCTCTTTGATAATTTCTCCTTTGGTCTTAATTTTAGACTTTTATGGAAATCGATGGTCCTAAAAATAATCACATATATATATATATATAAAATGATACCACTATTCACTATTAAAAGAAAATGAATTGGAATTTGAATTATATGTGTGTATATATATATATTCATATATATATGATATGAATATATTCATATCATATATATATGATATGAATAACATTCATATAAAAAAGGTGAATACTATTTTCACTTAAATGCCACATGTAATTTTATCCATCAAAATTCTTAGTGTTTGAAATATTTTGCTCTGTTAAAGAGTATTGTAAACAACATACAAAAATGTTTTTCTGCACTCATGGACAGTGACTGGAGTCTAGTAACCACAATGTTGCTCATGTAACTGTATATTAGTGATAAAGAAGGGAAAGGGAAGGAAGGAAGGAGGGAGGGAGGGAGGAACGGAGGGAAGGAAGGAAGGAAGGAAGGAAGGAAGGAAGGAGGGAAGGAAGGAAGGGAGGAAGGAAGGAGGGAAGGAAGGAAGAGAGGAAGGAAGGAGGGAAGGAAGGAAGGGAGGAAGGAAGGGAGGAAGGAGGGAGGGAGGGAAGGAGGGAGGGAAGGAGGGAAAGAAAATGTTTTTCTGAAACATTCTGGAAGTTTCCCAAATGACTGATTCAATATTTACTGATTTCTAAATAAGTGCATTTCAAATGCAGAGATTCATATTTACAGAAACTCCTGTGGATTTGTTATCCTACAACTGTCATTCCTGAGGCTGAAGAAGCAACAGAAAAAACAAAAAAGTAAGATATATAAATATTCCAGGTTGTTTGGTTTGTTTTGTGTTGAGTATGTTTGTAATCTTCAAACTTTGCTCTTAGACATGACTTGTAAATATCTACAGCAGTTATGCAAGGCTTTTGAATAGTTAAAAGTGAATCTTAAGTTCTGAGAAGTCCAACATAGCCATGCAGAAGATTGTTTTTCTTGGTTCGATAGAGATAAAGCATTGTACTATAGCTTTGGCTGCTATTTTAAAGTGGGGGGAAAGTTACTGTATGGGACAAGAAGGATATTTCCTTGCCTGTTCTATTTAAGATACGGGAGGAAATTCTAAGGTGAAAACAAACCATATATACATATATGAAAAATAATGCTTTACGTTTGGCTTATGATAGAAAACCCTAACATAAAAGGGTTTGGTGGCACACTGCAATTCTATACAGCTAACAATTCATTGTTAAAGGATTCACCTTTCCAATAGCTTCCTCCTTTTACATCTAGTTATTTCTATAACATAAGTATTAGTAATGCATCATCATAGATCTATTCTACTCTAATACTTTTCTTTAAATTCCCACAAGACTTTCTAACTTTAAAATAAAATACTCACAGTTAAGGAATTTTCACCATCATCATGCCCCATATGATTATGAGCTCGTCCTCGACCATCAGAAATGCTGAGCAAGTCTCTTCCAAAAGGTTCAGAGAAAGTTCTCATCATCTGTCGCATACTTTCTCGGTGTGCAATAAAAGAATCACTGTTGGAAATGTATATGAACCATGTTTAAGAGTAAGCGTTGGGATTTAAGTAGGCTGCTAATTACTATAAAGAATTATTTTGGGCCAATATCCTTGTTAAAGAGACAAAAGAAGAGCTTAGGAGAACAGAATTACCTCATAAAGACATTATTCATAAATACAATTTAAAAATTGAAAAATTTCATAAATAAAAAATTCATGAATACAAAAACTTTTGTTACCCACTATAATTCACTTAGGTATAATAATAAAAATACACCTTTATTTATCCCTTACTGTATAAAAATGATAAGCACAAAGTCACACAGCTCACGTAGCTTTAGCCAGTACTAAAGGAAATGGTAAAAGGACTTCAAAAAATACTGTTAACAAGTAGAAGCTACTTTGAATAGTCAATAATATAATTGTTAATGAGGATTTATACAGAATGCTGGCTTGTTTTTTATTTATGAAATATAAGCATTGAGAACTACAGCTGTGTTATAAACACGGCAAAGATACATTATTTTAATAGACAAACACAAAACTACATATCTCCTCTATAAGGCTAACTTTTATTTCTAAGAACTCGTAAATACTAGAAATCACCACACAGAAAAATATCGCCTAAGTCTGAAGATAGTGGTTCTCAGACTTTTTCTGAAATTACCAACCAACTAGTGAACAGGTAAGATAGCAAATTCCTGTCCCCCACAACCTCCCATTGGCTCTAGGTGTGTTTGTGGACATGCATCCTTGTTGATTTTAACTCAAGTAGCCCCTTTCCAATCTTTGAGGAGTATTTCCCCTTCTGTGTTTGTGGTACCTGAATTAATTAGAACCTAAGCCTCTTTTTCTGAGCCTAAGTTTCCATAGCTGTAAAATGAGGATAATATTGCATATCCTTCTTAAGGTTAAATCACATTATCTGAAAGCCCAAAGCACAAGCCCATATAAAATATTGAATGTTAATTTCTTTTACCTTCTTAACTCATGTGTGAATGGCACTCCCTATTATTCTATTATTAAATCTTTCAGGGAAAAAGAGAGATGTATTTCATTTAAAAACACAGCAATAATCATGTTCCAGGCCCTTTCCTATGTACACAAGTATTAATGTTCTTAATCTGAACATTGAATACACCATTCACCCCAAGTCCCATTCGAGAATCTAAAAATCTTTATTGCCTTATCACAGTGTAGTGCATTGGAGTCCCCACAGTCTGCCTTCCTTTTAGACTTCTTCACCTTAGTTTCATCCTCAAAGGTCATCCTTTCCCCTTCTAATTATAAATTCCAATCCTTCGATATCATCATGAGGAAGCTCAAAAATTGTGCTCTTTCAGTTGTACCAGGCAGAAAGAGCTTTTCCTTTACATTCTGCAGTATTTGTATGCATAAACCTGTCCCAAGGGAACTCATATTTATTCATATATATCACTTGGGAGGTTAAAAAAAAGGCGTCAAGTGCATCATAAACATGTCAAATGTATCCCACTGTAGGGGAAAAAAGGAGAGCCACAGCTCAGCAGTGTATAGGAAAAAAATGAGTTTTGCCTAAAAGAAAGGCTGAATGTCCCTTGGAAAACCTGCTATAATTGGATTGGAAATTCCTGTATTTTAAAAATTATTACTGCTCTTTAACTTTTAGAACAATGCTCAGAACTCTTGGTTGGCAAATTTTGAACAAAAAAAATGCACTGGTGTTAGCTTTCTAAGACAATTGATACAATATAATGTAATTAAAGAACAATGTATATGGCTTGATATTTAAATGTCAGATAGTAAATATCAGAACTTCACAGATGAATTATAAACCAATCTCCTTCTTATGCTTACAAGGGAATAAAATTGTCACTTCTTGTTTCTTCCACAAAAGCTATGAGTAATTCATTTGTGTATATAAATACAAAACATTATGTATAGCACTTCTCTTTCACTTTGGTGCTCATGGAAAGCTAAAATTTCAGAACATCTTATCTGACTTTTCTGCTCTCTTTGATAATTTCTCCTTTGGTCTTAATTTTAGACTTTTATGGAAATCGATGGTCCTAAAAATAATCACATATATATATATATATAAAATGATACCACTATTCACTATTAAAAGAAAATGAATTGGAATTTGAATTATATGTGTGTATATATATATATTCATATATATATGATATGAATATATTCATATCATATATATATGATATGAATAACATTCATATAAAAAAGGTGAATACTATTTTCACTTAAATGCCACATGTAATTTTATCCATCAAAATTCTTAGTGTTTGAAATATTTTGCTCTGTTAAAGAGTATTGTAAACAGAACATACAAAAATGTTTTTCTGCACTCATGGACAGTGACTGGAGTCTAGTAACCACAATGTTGCTCATGTAACTGTATATTAGTGATAAAGAAGGGAAAGGGAAGGAAGGAAGGAGGGAGGGAGGGAGGAACGGAGGGAAGGAGGGAAGGAAGGAAGGAAGGAAGGAAGGAAGGAAGGAAGGAAGGAAGGAGGGAAGGAGGGAAGGGAGGAAGGAAGGGAGCAAGGAGGGAGGGAGGGAAGGAGGGAGGGAAGGAGGGAAAGAAAATGTTTTTCTGAAACATTCTGGAAGTTTCCCAAATGACTGATTCAATATTTACTGATTTCTAAATAAGTGCATTTCAAATGCAGAGATTCATATTTACAGAAACTCCTGTGGATTTGTTATCCTACAACTGTCATTCCTGAGGCTGAAGAAGCAACAGAAAAAACAAAAAAGTAAGATATATAAATATTCCAGGTTGTTTGGTTTGTTTTGTGTTGAGTATGTTTGTAATCTTCAAACTTTGCTCTTAGACATGACTTGTAAATATCTACAGCAGTTATGCAAGGCTTTTGAATAGTTAAAAGTGAATCTTAAGTTCTGAGAAGTCCAACATAGCCATGCAGAAGATTGTTTTTCTTGGTTCGATAGAGATAAAGCATTGTACTATAGCTTTGGCTGCTATTTTAAAGTGGGGGGAAAGTTACTGTATGGGACAAGAAGGATATTTCCTTGCCTGTTCTATTTAAGATACGGGAGGAAATTCTAAGGTGAAAACAAACCATATATACATATATGAAAAATAATGCTTTACGTTTGGCTTATGATAGAAAACCCTAACATAAAAGGGTTTGGTGGCACACTGCAATTCTATACAGCTAACAATTCATTGTTAAAGGATTCACCTTTCCAATAGCTTCCTCCTTTTACATCTAGTTATTTCTATAACATAAGTATTAGTAATGCATCATCATAGATCTATTCTACTCTAATACTTTTCTTTAAATTCCCACAAGACTTTCTAACTTAAAAATAAAATACTCACAGTTAAGGAATTTTCACCATCATCATGCCCCATATGATTATGAGCTCGTCCTCGACCATCAGAAATGCTGAGCAAGTCTCTTCCAAAAGGTTCAGAGAAAGTTCTCATCATCTGTCGCATACTTTCTCGGTGTGCAATAAAAGAATCACTGTTGGAAATGTATATGAACCATGTTTAAGAGTAAGCGTTGGGATTTAAGTAGGCTGCTAATTACTATAAAGAATTATTTTGGGCCAATATCCTTGTTAAAGAGACAAAAGAAGAGCTTAGGAGAACAGAATTACCTCATAAAGACATTATTCATAAATACAATTTAAAAATTGAAAAATTTCATAAATAAAAAAATTCATGAATACAAAAACTTTTGTTACCCACTATAATTCACTTAGGTATAATAATAAAAATACACCTTTATTTATCCCTTACTGTATAAAAATGATAAGCACAAAGTCACACAGCTCACGTAGCTTTAGCCAGTACTAAAGGAAATGGTAAAAGGACTTCAAAAAATACTGTTAACAAGTAGAAGTTACTTTGGATAGTCAATAATATAATTGTTAATGAGGATTTATACAGAATGCTGGCTTGTTTTTTATTTATGAAATATAAGCATTGAGAACTACAGCTGTGTTATAAACACGGCAAAGATACATTATTTTAATAGACAAACACAAAACTACAGATCTCCTCTATAAGGCTAACTTTTATTTCTAAGAACTCGTAAATACTAGAAATCACCACACAGAAAAATATTGCCTAAGTCTGAAGATAGTGGTTCTCAGACTTTTTCTGAAATTACCAACCAACTAGTGAACAGGTAAGATAGCAAATTCCTGTCCCCCACAACCTCCCATTGGCTCTAGGTGTGTTTGTGGACATGCATCCTTGTTGATTTTAACTCAAGTAGCCCCTTTCCAATCTTTGAGGAGTATTTCCCCTTCTGTGTTTGTGGTACCTGAATTAATTAGAACCTAAGCCTCTTTTTCTGAGCCTAAGTTTCCATAGCTGTAAAATGAGGATAATATTGCATATCCTTCTTAAGGTTAAATCACATTATCTGAAAGCCCAAAGCACAAGCCCATATAAAATATTGAATGTTAATTTCTTTTACCTTCTTAACTCATGTGTGAATGGCACTCCCTATTATTCTATTATTAAATCTTTCAGGGAAAAAGAGAGATGTATTTCATTTAAAAACACAGCAATAATCATGTTCCAGGCCCTTTCCTATGTACACAAGTATTAATGTTCTTAATCTGAACATTGAATACACCATTCACCCCAAGTCCCATTCGAGAATCTAAAAATCTTTATTGCCTTATCACAGTGTAGTGCATTGGAGTCCCCACAGTCTGCCTTCCTTTTAGACTTCTTCACCTTAGTTTCATCCTCAAAGGTCATCCTTTCCCCTTCTAATTATAAATTCCAATCCTTCGATATCATCATGAGGAAGCTCAAAAATTGTCCTCTTTCAGTAGTACCAGGCAGAAAGAGCTTTTCCTTTACATTCTGCAGTATTTGTATGCATAAACCTGTCCCAAGGGAACTCATATTTATTCATATATATCACTTGGGAGGTTAAAAAAAAGGCGTCAAGTGCAGTTGATTAGTAAAGCACTTCACTGGATTTGTGTTTGGGTAAATAAGTTTTAATTCACCTTTGTTTAGGTATGATTTACATAGAGTTAAATTCATCCATTTTAATTGTATAGATGGATGAATTTTGAAAAACGTATACAGTCATAACCACCACCACAATCAAGATGTAGAACATTCCCATCACCAAAATTTCCTCTTGCTCCTTTGCAGATAATTACCTCCCTCTAACCCTAAATACTGCTGGTATAGGCTTTCTGCCAGTCATTTGGACTTATTCAGAATTTCATATAATGGAATCATACATTATGTTGTCTCTTCTGTCTAGCTTCTTTCACTTAGAATAATATTCTGTGATTCATCCATGCTGTTCCATTTATCATAGCTCATTTAGTTTTATTGCTATGTACATAACTCAGAGTATGTATATATCTCAATGTAATAACAAAACTGTCTCTAGTATGGTTTCATGTCTCTTTTAGTAAATAAATGTAACTAGTAAAATACATAAAATATACATGGTAAAATATCTAGGAGTGAGATTGCAGGGTGGTAAAGTAAGCATTATTTAACTTTATAAAAAATGTGAACTGAGAGTTCCAGTGGTGCTGACACTTGGTACTGTCAGTCTTTTTAATTTTAACCATTTGAGTAGTGGTGTAATAACCTCACTGGGATTTTATTTTGTATTTGTCATTTGTATATCTTCTTTCATAAAATGTGTTTTCAAATTTTTTCCCTTTTAAAAAGCCAGGTTGATTATTCCAAGGAGTTGTAAGAGTTTTTGTATATTCTAGAGATAAGACATTTATCAGATACACATCTTATATATTTTTTCCCAGTCTTGGATTTGCCTTTTCATTTTTTTATTAAGGTATTATTGATATACACTCTTATGAAGGTTTCACAAGAAAAAAAATGTGGTTACTACATTTACCCATATTATTGTGTCTGCCCCATACCCATTGCAGTCACTGCCGATCAGTGTAGTAAGATGCCACAGAGTCACTTTTTGTCTTCTCTGTGCTACACTGTCTTCCCCATGATACCACCCACACAATCTGTGGCAATCATAATACCCCTCCATTCCCTTCTCCCCCCCTCCCCACCTGCCCTTTGCCACCCCTCCCATTTGGTAACTGCTAGTCCCGTCTTGGAGTCTGTGAGTCTGCTGCTGTTTTGTTCCTTCAGTTTTGCTTTGTTGTTATACTCCACAAAAGAAGGAAATCATCTAGTACTTGTCTTTCTCCTCCTGGCTTATTTCACTGAGCATATCCTCAAAGCTCCATCCATGTTGTTGCAAATGGTTGGATTTGTTTCTATCTTATGGCTGAATAGTATTCCATTGTGTATATGTACCACCTCTTCTTTATCCATTCATCTACTGATGGACACTTGGGTTGCTTTCATTATCTTGGCTATTGTAAATAGTGCTGCAATAACACAGGGATGCATATGTCTTTTTGAATCTCAGAAATCATATTCTTTGGGTAAATTACTAGGAGTGGAATCCCTGGGTCAAAAGGTTTCTATTTTTAGTTTTTTGAGTAACCTCCATATTGCTTTCCACAATGGTTAAACTAGCTTACATTCCCACCAGCAGTGAAGGAGGGTTCCCCTTTCTCCACATCCTCGCCAGCATTTGTTGTTCTTAGTCTTTTTCATACTGGCCATCCTAATTGGTGTCAGGTGATACCTCATTGTGGTTTTTATTTGCGTTTCTCTGATAATTAGTGATGTGGAGTGTCTTTTAATGTGCCTGTTGGCCATCTGAATTTCTTCTTTGGAGAATTCTCTCTTCATATCCTTTGCCCATTTTTTAATTGGGTTATTTGCTTTTTGGGTATTGAGCCATGTGAGTTCTTTATGTATTTTAGATGTTAATCCCTTCTCGGATATGTCATTTACAAATAAATTCTCCCATACTGTAGGATGCCTTTTTGTTCTATTCATAGTTTCCTTTGCTATACAAAAGCTTTTTAGTTTGATGTAATGCCATGTGTATATTTTTGCTTTTGTTTCCCTTGCTCAAAGAGATGCACTCAGGAAAAAGTTGTTCATGTTTATATTCAGAAGATTTTTACCTATGCTGTCATCTAAGAGATTTATGGTTTCATGACTTCTTACATTCAGAAATTTGATCCATTTCGAGTTTACTTTTGTGTATGGGGATAGACAATAAACCAGTTTCATTCTCTTGCATATAGCTGTCCAGTTTTGCCAACACTAGTTTTTGAGAGTTGTTATTTCCCCATTGTATGTCCATGGCTTCTTTATCATATATTAATTTACCATACATGTTTGGGTTTATATCTGTGCTTTCTAGTCTGTTCCATTGGTTTATGGGTATATTCTTGCACCAGTACCAAATTATCTTGATTACTGTGGCTTTGTAGTAGAGCTTGAAGTCAGGGAGCATAATCCCCCCAGCTTTATTCTTCCTTCCCAGGATTGCTTTGGCTATTTGGGGTCTTTTGTGGTCCCATATGAATTTTAGAACCATTTGTCCTAGTGCATTGAAGAATGCTGTGGTATTTTGACAGGGATTGCATTGAATCTGTAGATTGCTTTAGGCAGGGTGGCCATTTTGACAATATTAATTCTTCCTATCCATGAGCATGGGATGTGTTTCCATTCATTGGTATCTTCTTTAATTTCTCTCATGAGTGTCTTGTAGTTTTCAGGGTATAGGTCTTTCACTTCCTTGGTTAGGTTTATTCCTAGGTATTTTATTCTATTCTTTTTGATGCAATTGTGAATGGAATTGTTTTCCTGGTTTCTCTTTCAGCTAGTTCATCATTAGTGTATAGGAATACAACACATTTCTGTGTATTAATTTTGTATCCTGCAACTTTGCTGAATTCAGATATTAGATACAGTAGTTTTTGAGTGGATTCTTTAGAGATTTTATGTATATCATGTCATATGCAAACAGTGACAGTTTGACTTATTCTTTACTAATCTGAATGCTTTTTACTTATTTATTTTGTCTGATTACCATTGTGAGGACCTCCAGAACTATGCTGAATAATAGTGGAGAGAATGGGCATCTTTGTCTTGTTTCTAATCTTAAAGGAAAAGTTTTCAGCTTCTGGCTGTTAAGTATGATGTTGGCTATGGTTTTGTCCTATATGGCCTTAATCATGTTGAGGTACTTGCCCTCTATACTCATTTTTTGAGAGCTTTTGTCACGAATGAATATTGAATTTTGTTGAATGCCCTTTCAGCACCTATGGAGATGATCGTGTGGTTTTTGTTCTTCTTTTTGTTGATGTGGTGGATGATGTTGATGGATTTTCAAATGCTGTACCATTCTTGCATCCCTGGAATAAATCCTACTTGATCATGATGGATGATCTTTTTGATGTATTTTTGAACTCAGTTTGTTAAAATTTTTTGAGTATTTTTGCAAATATGTTCATCAGGGATGTTGGTCTATGATTTTCTTTTCTGTAGTGTCTTTGCCCCATTTTGGTATTAGAGTGATGCTGGCCTCATAGAATGAGTTTGGGAGTATTACCTCCTCTTCTACTTTTTGGAGAACTCTAAGAG